CAAGATCACGGTATCCTACAGCTCTGTATATTATAAATGTTGTGAGAAGTTTTTACCACCGAGAAGTTTCACCCAGACATTTGAACAAACTTTCAAACCGTGCTTTTAAAGTTAAAGATTGCTGTGTGCAATAGTTTGCAGCCTAAAGACAGTTAGAATAAATCCCTGAGGTGCCCTTGAGTAAAGCACTTGTAACCCCAACTGCTGTAGTGCAACTATCCAGCTTCAAAGTGTGAATGTTACTGTGTAAGTGTCCTGAAAAAGAGAGCAAAGCTAAATAAAAAACAAAAATGTATTTTCAAATGTGGGCTCTTTTGTTGTCTGTTTCTACAAAAATGCTGTATATTTGCTTCAGTTTTAATACAGTCTTTCCAGGGAGACACAGTCTGGACATATTAGTCATGAATACAACTTCAGCTAGCATATTAGCGTAACTGGAAAATGACTAACAGTTATTTATATTTGTAAATATGATGTCCTGATCCAGTAATACAAATTTTAACCAGTGTGTGCATGTAAATACACTTAGTGGCGGACTAGGGGTTTTTGATGACAAGATATGTAGCAGAAATTGAATAAAACAAGTTACTTGTCGATGATGCACTTTAGCTTCAGTTTCAGTATCGTCCCAGAAGACCCAGAATCTGGCCGTGCTGTTAGAGTCATAGAACATACTTAAGCTGGAATAAAAGTTTAGATCACAGGGTAAAAATGGCATGTTTTCCCACATACAGGGATACGTTTTCAACTGATTAAATGGGATGTGCTCTTTCCCTACACTTTCTGCTATACATATGTATGTGTGCCTTTGTGCACATGTGTTTTCACGCATGTGTTTTCACACTTCCCATTGGAGAAATTCATCATCCTCCAGGCGGCATGTTTATATTTATCCCCTTTTTCTTGCGTGTGTGTGAGAGATTCACAGGTACATGTGCTCACACACACATGCATGCACATGCAATCTCTTCCTGTTTTCTTTTAATTAATGACTGTGGTGCTAATTAGACGGGATGCAACTCTTCAGTACCCTCCGACTGTCTCTCATCCATTCTTAGATTCACTCCTCCAAGCCTTATGAAGCAACACTCTGAAGTGTTTTGATCTCCGCCGGGAACACAAAGACGAAAGAAAAGGAGAGTTTGTTGGATACAATAACTTCAGACACTGTGCTGCACAGTGCTAGATATGATAAAGAAGGACTTTACTGCAGTTTTTGTGGCGCTCATGGCCACTCAACAAGGAGGCTATGTCTACTCAATTGTGCAGATTTGTATTGTGTTCTCTATTGCCTGCAAGTATTTTTTTGCCACACTGTTCACTTTAATCACCGCTATATTCTCACTTCCACAGTCCCCCCTTATGAGCATGACACGCAGACAGTGTCACCATGTTAAGCCTCTATTCTTTTAATGATCTTCTTCCTCTCCACTCGGCGTGACAAAGGTTGCCTCCTGTCAAAGTTTAGTCAGCATAGGTCATGGAGAGATGTTAAATGACCACACATTTAGCAGAGAGAAAAGTCCGTCCGTGGTCAAAATGACCTGTTGACCTGTTAGACTTTGATCCTGAATTGAAACTTCTGATAAGGGAACTGAAGTCATTTAAAGCACTTTCTCTAGAGTTTTGAAATGGGATTCGTATTGTGTCTTTGAAACAAGGCGACTGTGTTTGTTTGTGTTTGTTTTGTTCTCCTGCTCCCACACAACACATATTTGGCATCACACATTGCAACAGTAAAAGCTGAGAACAACAAACTTGGAGGACAGGCAGCAATATGGGCGCCTTGATAAATGATGAGATTGTTGAGGCTTCCTTAACGGCACAGTTGAGATAATTACCATCTGTCATCAAGGTGATGTGGTGTGATGAATATGACTACAAGAAGCCCTCGTGGATATAGTACAACAAGCAGTTGTTTGCTAAACCACATACTTGACAAAAAGAAAATCCACCATTGGGTTACAATGACAACCAGTGTTTACCAGACATTTGACTTGTTCTCTACTGAAATCAATGTCGGCTGTCGGCTCTAAGATCCACCTTGCATTCAGACTGCAGTTAAACCACACTGATGAAATAATGTCAGTTTACCACTGAATGCTGATTAATATTCACCCGTAGAGCTAGTCTATCCACAGAATGGTTCTTAATATACTATAGGCCCTTTCACAGGAGACATTTTAACTTGCACAGTTGTTACTCTGTTCTATTCAAGTGTTCCAAAAGTGACACAATAGCCCTTTTCCACAGCATTGACTTGTCATAGCAAAAAAACAAAAAGCAAAGGTGAAACAAATTTTGTTAATAACTTCTCAGGTCTCTTAAACACAATACAATGACTGGTTAACTGGTTATGAATAATTTTCAATTTAATACGGATGCCTCTATATGACCTACACAAACAAACAAGACCATCAGCAAGAAGGTTGGCTATTTCTATTTAGTTATTCTTAATACCTGGCATCGGGTCAGATTTTGTCTGATTCGCCTTGAAATCAATGAAACGAGGCGGTAGAAACACTACTACTACAGGGGCTGCCAGAATCAACACAAAATGAAACCTTATATCCTTATAGGGGCTTTAAGTGCGCCTCAGTTAACCAATGCCAGTGAGCCAGCACATACAATATCAGGTCCCTGGACCTAACTTACCTAAATGAAGAGAGGTTGTTTTTAATGCTATCGATTACAACTGTACGTTTCCTGCTATGATGTGCCAAAATGTCTGCTGTGAAGAAGGTCTGTGCCAGTACTGTAGTTCTTGTTTTTGGTATACAAGAAATGACTGTACTTTACCCTTTTTTCCCTACAGGAAATTAGGCAATGTTAATCAGTTTGCGAATTTGAAATGCCACGATTAAACTTCACAGAGATCAAATGTTTTTTTCTGAAGATGTACAACTTTAGTTGCTTGTTTTCAAATATATTCCTGTATCTGTCTCACCACCATCATTTATTTTAATGTGATGCAGCTGAGAGTAGATCCTTCATCCCCTTTGTGCATTGCAATGTGGGACAATAGTGCACTACAGCACACTCAAAAACCAAGCATTTTCTAGTATGCATACAGACATTTTTGAAGAATAAAAAAAAATCCAGTGTGAACACACTGCCCTCCTAACCTGATTAAAATGATTACACAATATGAAATTGGGAAACAGGTCCACCCATTTCAAAGACAAATTAAGTTTGATATGTTGAACTTTTGAATTAAACGTCAAAGATTCAATTTAATGTCACACAAACTTTTTGTTTTGATTCAGCATCAAAGTCACAGACTCTCTTCTCACCATACGTCTTACCATATGTGCCCCCTTTCCCTCGCGACTGTGAATATGCTCTTTAAGCAAACCACTGGCATCCACAGTCGAGTGCATCTTTCCCCACCTACTGCAGCTCATTTAATAATTGAAAATCACTCACTGTAGATGAAAGACAAAAAGAGGGAGGCCATTATCATTCTGCACAGAATAAAATCTTTGATGTCACACTACATTCTTTTGTAAACTTGATCTCTATGCACAGCTCTGGTGTTTTGTCTGAGTGGACCTAGATGTTCACTCAGTTGGGGGCTTCCAAAAGCAGGGACCGCTGGGATATGTATATTTGCTCGGCTGTCAACTTGTCGGAGCAGATACAGATTAATTCCAGTAGTGTCAATGAAACAAAGCCACAGGGGTAAACAGGGGAGGAATTGGGATGCAGGCTGGGTAAAAGAGAAAACTGAGACTTGGTGAAACACAAGTTGAGGAAGTGACTGAATGATAGATTGAATAGATATAGTAGGGTCAAATTGAGAGAGGAGGCACAAACTACTTTTGTTGCTGAAGTTTCTATTTCATTTGCATGTATTAGACTGAGATTTTCCTCAAGAGAGACAGAGAAAAACAGAACAGCGAGAAAGGTAAAAATGGCCGGAGGCGAAGATTGATATCCAAAGCAACTGAAGCACCCAATTAGGCTTTACTGGCATTTTAGCCTCCATCTCTGTGTACTGTGCGACACAGTTACACTTATATATGTTGATAACGATACATTTATTGAGCTGAAATTAATTAAAACACATCCTTGCAATGCATTGCCTTTTCCTAAGACATTTTTATGAAGAACAGCCCAAACACATTTCACATTTCATTAGCTACTTAATGATCATTGCCTGACTGGCACTCTCACAAATGTGTCAATCAAATTCAACTGTTGAAGTTTCTGGAAAGTTTTAAGGACTACCCAGAAACCAATGGGTCTTCAATTAATTGCGCAGTCTTCATCTAAATGTATCTCTCCTGCTGGCTTGTAGAGGTTGAGAGCATTATGGACAAATACTCTTTTTACTGTAGATTCATTGTCATTGGCAAGTCCAGCTACATCTCACAAGGTGGGGTCAGTTTTTCTGGAGAAAGATAGTTGATTGTTCAGTCCCAAGTCTTCAAATACCAATGCTTCCAGTTATGATAAATGGGAAACCAACAACATGACTATAGAAAAAACACTCAACAATCAATCTTTTTCCAGGGTAACTTACCCTACCTTTAAAACAGTTGTTAATTTTTGATTTATCACTTGGTGTGTTCTGTGAAGATTTTTTTCCGAAGCAAGGGAAAAAAAGGACCCTGAAACTCATTTAGCCGCATATAGAGAAAGGTTATAAGGTCTCACTTAATGGGGATTGGATGGTCCTTTTCTGCAGCTGCCCCAATTTGTTATTTTGGATGAAAAGACAGATGTTTTCTTTGAGAAAATTGAATTATTTTCCAATGCAGGTTTCAGCCTGTAAAGATCACCACACTTCTTCAGTTTCTTCCTGTCACCTTGCCTTACTTTGCACTTTCTTGCAATCCAGCTCCCTTGCACAAGAACTGAACCTTAACTACATTTACCTCAGAACATGAGGAGGCAGTTTATGTGCATCTCTTGCATTTACATCAGTTGTAGTTTGTTCCTTGGCAAATACAGCTGACTCCTTGACTGATCATTTATACCTCTCTTTTCTCCACCAGGTGTCGAGAAGGCTACCAGGGAATCCGCTGTGACCAATTTCTGCCCAAGACAGACTCCATCCTGTCTGACCCAAGTAAGTTTCCAAATTTGTGAACTTCAGTTTATTCAGTGCACCAGCATCTATCATTTGACCATGAGTCCAATGTAAACATATAAAAGTAAACATGAGGGAAACAAAGGGGGTAATATTTCTCAGATCATTATTAATATTATTAATTATTATTAATAAAGCACATGAAAATAACTAATTAAATGTCCATGATGTGATGATGATGATTGCTGTATGTGCTATCGCTAAGTCCTCAGCTCTGCTGTGCAAACATCCTGCAAGATGCAAGAAGTGGATAATAATAGCTTGAATTCCATTATAGGAGCACTCAACTAGACAGTATAAAGATAATTCAGCTGTTTGTTTGATATTGCATATTCCCCTTGAAATAGGCATGTATGGTATTTCCTAAAAAATGCTGCAAGTCATTGCAGTAGGAATGCAGTGATAGATTGGTTTCTTCTCCTACCACAAGTCATATTAGACATTATTTTGTGTATATACTTGCACAATATGTAGATCTTGTATCAGTGGGATTTAATGCAGGTCCTCAGAAGCCAGAGTACTGGTGGTTTTTGATTTTGCCACCTAGATAATTGCATTCACCTGGCATCCCAGGTGAGCATCAGTGCCTGATTAAAAAGACAGCAGGTGCCATGGGTCTAATTCTAAAAGCCAATGCCCTTTGTATGCATTGATACATGCAGTGAAAAAGGGCCACTACAAAGTAGAGTAAGTATTTTGAATAAAAAATTTTATGGAAATATTATTGAAAATAATGTGAGAAAGTAAAAAAAAATACTGCAAAATACCTCTGAATCCTTTAGCTTAAAAATTACATTACAACGATTCCAAGCAATCTACAGCCAAGTTTTCTTTTATGTCAGAGTAACAATAATTTATGGGTTTATAGCATATCAACCGTAGCTTTTCTGTCTTCAATTACATTCTCCTCTTTCTTATTTTTGGCCTCATATTACCTTTTCATTTTCTCTTCTATTCTCTGCATTCTCAAATACCCTCTCCTACACAGACTAATGTCACGTCTACCATTTATTTATCTCCCAAAGACATGGTCCTCTCAATGTCATATAGCTGAAGGAAGAGCATCTGTAACTTTTTTACTAACAAGGTACATGCTGTAATAGCACCATTTAACGTAAAAGGACAGTACTGTGCCTTTGGGGATTTTTACCTCAAAATTGTCCAATGTAAAAGAAAAAACCTCTCTCTGGTAATATTATGAAATTTAAATTTCTTATTATGAATATTAAATGTTCTACTTGATTGCAAGGGAAAATCTGCCATAAATGAGACATGTAGATTAAATGTGGCAAATGCAACAACACTGGTATCACTTGCTCTTTGTTAATATCCTTCACTTTCCAGATCATTAATTAAGTCTCTGTAATGAGGTTTTTAATTCCAAGCAAGTATTAGGGTAATTGTCCTTGTTAGAACAACATTGGTGTTCACTGAAGTGACACCCATCGCTTTGTTTGTACACCAAACCTACTGACCTGAACGTATTGGTAGCTAAGAACTGTTACCATCCTCATCACTTAAACGATTTGTCAAATGTCAGATGGCCACAGTTGTTGATTGTGTTGCTACTTTATCTGTTGATCATTGTGAGGAAGCCTTAGATATGATCCTCTTTGTGTAATGGTAATTCCTTCAAAGCTTTCACCTGTACCGAGCACAGACCCAGGGGCCTAGGGGGTCAACTGGCCCATAAGCAACACCATCTATTTGACTTTTTATCAACTACTAATTTGTGATAGTTACGTTTACTTAACCTAGAAATATGTCTGACAGCCGAATAAATCTGCTTTAAGAAAATATAATCTTCAATCAATCAATAATCTGATTGTGGGTAATGATTTATTTTATTGATGCCATAGTTTCCTAGAAAATAAATGATATGTAATTGTACATTCAGCGCAATTAAAAAATGAAGGATGCTTTGGTGCTAATTAGACTGAAATTGGATGCTGTTCAATTGTTGAGCCTTAGCATAACCTAGAATGTCTTTATTCAGAGCATCTCAGGACAGCTGGAAAAATTTGTTTTTTAAGACAAGCATACAAGTCGAAGTTTCCTAATGATAAAGAAATCACAAAATTCATATTTTCTTGGGTTTAAAAAGAAACTTACTTATAAACTCAACATGACAAACTAAACTTTTCCAGGAACCTTCCCATGAAATTATTAGGAAATTACAGACCTGTAAAATAAATGTTTTGCATTGGATATGTGGTGCAGTTTTCAACCAATGGCAGCATTTTAGAGTTGTGGTCAACCTGAAAAAGATGCAAAACTGCTCTGAGTGCCACATTTCTGG